TTTTGCGCAGTTCCTAATGTAATGTGCGCATTGTTTCCTCCTTGTTTGTGCCAGTAGCAGTAGGTGGTGCATTAGCGTTGCCTGCGCACGCCTTCGGCATCAGGTGGTCTGCCCCGAAATGAGTTGTTCAGCTATGTAGTCCAACCATCTGGCCTGCACAGCTGGGCTGCCTAGCTGCCAGCCTGTCTAGCAAGGAAGCAATACATGACTAGAAGTTGCCCTTTAAATGGGTTAAAAGTGTTGCTGTGTTAAGTTCCTACTTGAATAAGTGCGTTGTTCATGTTTTGCATCATTATCCTTATCAATTTTAGCAAAAAAGGAATATATTTTTATGTTAATTATGTTTCTTAGAACTTATGTATGGGATTTGAAATTTCTGGATTTTAAAGTCATTGAGCTATGGTTAAAAATATATTTGAGTATCTTACTATGTCATAACTTTCTGAGCTCTTAATCATTTCGAGCTTTACAGCTATGGAATGATACTAGAGTTTTTGTAATTATGGAGATGGCAGGGCTCTAAATTGTAACAGCTTTAATCTTCCAATAGTTTCGGAGATCGATGGGCTTTGAGTTAGAAAGAGCTTTGGTCTTCCAATCTTCCATTGTTATTGAGCTAGAAGCTCTTCCAATCTTCCATAGTTCTAGAGATCGAAGCTTTTTATAAGTCAAAGCAGTTCGATCTCTTGAATAATAGGCGATTAAAACTTGAGTTTCCATGCTTCCAAAGATCAAAGCTCTTTAGAGCTCAGAAAGGCATACCACAGTAGCTCTACTCTTTACGTTTATACCTCATAGAACTGATCACATCTGCTGACGATAAATGCCATTGAACAAAGACCTCATACCCACTTTATGCACTTCCGATGTGTTGAGGGTATATAGCTACATATACATTAATGAAAGTAGTAAATGATCAGACAGCACTCAGTTTGAGCAATTCATATAGATATTAGTTCAGCTGTTGCCTTCCACAAGCAAAGATCAGAGCAACATCTTCATTAGCAGCCACGCACAATCCAATGCGCATCGATCATTATGCACTGGAGCTAGGTGTAGCCGGGCAACTGCTGCTTATCCTCAAGCAGCTACGCCTGCTGCCTTCAGATCCTATTGTACGCAAATCTGAACCAAATTTATGCAAATTGAAATTCCTTAGCAAACACCTGGTCGGGCACACAAACACATGCATATAGCTGTGTGTATGTGTGTGTGTTTAACAATTGTTTCAATGGCAGCCTGGAATGATGAATGTGCCAAAAGATTCCACACGCCGTGCCCGGGCTGATTACACCGGCTAACACGGCAGACAACTTGGCGCGTCGCACAAAACTGTAGCAAATCTTGAGGAGGCAAAAGGAGAGCGAGACAAGAGGACAAGAGGACAGGGCGACAGGCAGACAGACGGGGCAAGGTGTCAATTCTGGGAAATCTGCGCAGCGTGCGCGGGCAAACAATGCACTGCACAGCGGGAGGCTCTGGCCAATGCAGAAAAAGGCAAACAAAATTGTTATGGTGACAATGACAATGCACTGGCTATGGCCAGCACCAGCAGCAGCAGCAGCAGCAACAATTGCAACTGCAACAACAGCAACACGTAACGAAGCGCAGACAACATTATTGTCATCGCGGCATCAATAGGCATTGGGAAACTAGTGCAGTGGGCTGTGGGAGAATCTTTGAGCTCCAATTTAAAAAACCTCACTTCTCGTGGACCTCTTGCTCTTCCCCTGCGTCAGCTTCTTCTTGTTCTATTCTGCTGCCCACAGGCAATTTGCATCTGGAGGCATTTTTGTTTGAAAAATCACGTTGTTAGTGCCTGACTGAACTTTTACAATTCCACGACATTATTTATTTATTTTGCTGCTTCTTGCTACTTTTTTGTTTAGTTTCTGTTATAATTTACATACGAAAACATACCTGATTGCGCGAATTCGCATGTGTCGCTGCCTACACATTGCAATGGCACGCTTTAGTGTTGTAAAACGCGCGCAAATTTAGTAAGATATAAAATCTTAGCTGTATAATAAGCTGAAACGTTGTTAAGCAGTAATCATAGGCTCTTAATAGGGGCAGACTAAATCATATTTATATATTCAGAGCTTAGCTGCTACACAATTTCAGTGTTGTAAAATGCCTGCACTTTGATGATTCTTAAAAGCAAGATGTTTTTCAAAGTATTTAAGTCAAAGAAATTTTGTTTAAATTTTATTAAAAACTCATTTCATGAGCTGATTAAGTGAGATTAGTATGGCTTGATGAATATGAATTTGATAAGTTTATTCTTATAGTAAATGGTGCTTCGTATCATATGAACTTTTCTTTCCCTTGCCCTTCCCTTCCCTTCATTAGCCTTTAAATTTAAAATTGCCTTTAAAATAAACTTTTCAATTGTTCACTAAAATGCAAAATTGATTGAAAACAAAAGGCGAAAATTAAAAGGAAAATAATTCATATTTTTACATATTTCATATTCAAAATTTCGCTTAACAATTTCGTAGTATTGGAAAGCGTGTAAAATGATCAAAACTTTTAGCAATAAGAGTTTTTGTTGCTTAAGTTTATTTGTTGCAAGATGAAACAAGGTAGAAGAGCCGCATAACATGAGCAGCTCGAAAGGTACTAATCCTATTTAAAGGCACTGAAACAGAAATAATAAAACTCTTTTACGACAAGCTTTAAAAAACGAAGACGAAGAAAGAAAATGCGGCCAAGGGACTTTGCCACGTCTGCGTCTGTGTCTGGGGCAGAGCAACAAATTATTAACGACATTTTAAATACAACGCCTTTGCGACCGCATCTGAGCACGAGAGCGAAAGGGGTCATGCGCAGGTCTGAGAGATTGGACCAGAGAGACAGAGCGACTTCCCACTGGACGAAGACGCGACGCCTTTTAATGAGATTTGTCTGCTCCGAAATACATGAAAAACTCGTGTTTCTTATGCGTTTAAGCGTTTTAAGGACACGCAGGCAAAGCAACAAAAAGCCACGGCCACTTGTTGAGTCTGAGGATAAGCAAAACGGCCAACGTGTGGCATTAACAAGTGCGTATGTGTGTGTGTGAGTGGAGGAGGCAGAGAAATACTGGTCCAGAGATCTCTACAGAGTTGTGCTTTATATTTTATGCTCCGAGCAGGCAGTAAAAATTGAAAATTACTTTTGTAGCGAATCTCCAGGTGAGGAGACCGGAGAGACTCAGGCCCTACCGCATTTGAAAGCTGAGGCAATAATTGCAGCACAGTGAAAATTACAATCGAGCATTTTTATTGACTCTACCTCACGGGCCTGGCTTAAAACAAAAAATGAAAGAAAAAGATGCGCCGACACGGATCTGCGTGCGATCGATGCACTCGATGAAAGTGCGTGCGGCTTATGGAGATCTCTGAACCTGGAAGCTGGAACATGTGCACCCGCGGCGCTTTGGTTACTGTGAAAGTTTGGTAAATGTTTCAGCTCTCATTTTTATTTTTATTGTTGTCGTTGTTACATACAGGATATTATGTTTAAGGAACAGAAGACAACACAGAAATGTTGTAAATAAATCTCATAGACTTCAATGCCACCCGAGGAAAAGAAGAAGCTCCTCCTTTATCCGTTTACCAACTCTAAGAGTTGTCAACAGGCTACAATAAACTTGTTCTTTAGATGATTTAAGGCAGCAGCAAACGTAAACTAATTAACTTGCACAGCGGTCAGGCAGTCTACACCTGTTGGGTGGTCCTGCCGGGAGAAGGAAACCAAAAAAAAAGAAAAATTAGTTAACAAGATCATTAAATCTTTGCTAACAGTCTATCGAGGCATTTGACTTGCAGAAAGAGAGAGAGAGAGAGGGAGATGTAGTGGACGACAGTTACCCGAGCCACGACGTGCGATAAGATAGCAGAGACCCGACCAAGGCTCTGCCACTGGCGCTGAGCATGTAAATCGCATCTGGCACAGTACGTGGTCAGTTGGATGCTGCACCGGGTTTTATCTCACTAATTTATGCTGGTGGCTATGGCCTGACGAGAGATTGCGCTTGCCCTAGACTGCAGCTAAGACTTGGTTCTGTTCGCTTCTGGGAAACTCAACGGGGACAACAAAAACATTTGATAAGCGCACTAATTAAGTTAAATGTGCGCCTGTGTGGGCAGCAGGATTCCAAGAAGAAGAAGACCATTGCAATTGGCACAGGTTTGCATTCGAGCATGATTTATGTTGCAACCCATCATCCAAGGCTAGCCCAACACCTTCTTATCTGACAAACAACACAAAAAGTGTTTGTTTGTTTTTTCTTTTGACAGCTGCGGCTGCTGCTGCTGCGGGTGGCTCCACTTGAGAGCCCTGCATGTGTTGTTTTTAATTGCTCAACACGCGCTTGTGTGTGTGGCAGGATTTGTGCGTCTAAATTTAGATTTACGATTTAAACCCTTGTCGGAGTCGATTAACAAGCGACACTTGGTTAAGCATGCGCCGTTTTATGGGGCAGCGTTTTAAGAGAGCGCTAAGAGCGCCACATGAAACAAATTGGAATTGGAACTAACCACAAGCCAAGAGCAGCGCGCTTCATGGCTTTTTAAGAGAGTTTTATATGATATAGAGCTTATTTACTTAAGTATATATATGTGGTTGGGCTTTTTTGACTTAGGTCCTTTGACAAATAAACTACTCGAAATTCATTTAAGCACTACCTGTACCCATGTCAGTTGTCACACGTGCTGCGTTTTACCTGAGCTTTGTTTTACCTTTATTTGCGCATCAGGTCAAGTTCTAATAAAACCCTGCACCTGATGAGCAATACTTGTGAGGGTAAATCGTATTTTTTTTGTGCACTTCGGGTAAAAAACCTTAAATTTGTTCCTTGTATTCGATAATTAACGTCATTTAGTGTGATTGTCAAGTGCCATTCACAGAGCTCGATACGTTTGAAAAATTAAAATGCAACTCTGTGCGTTAGTTAATTTAGAGTTAGCATTGTTAATGCGTCTCAATTATTGAAGTTCAACACAATTCGAACGCGTCTTAAATCGTATCAAAAGAAACTGCGCAAGAGCCATTTGCCACCCCCGAAAAGAGCCCGAAAACCTAAGAGCGTATTACATGTTGGTATTCAATGTTTTTGTTGCTTTATTATTGTATTCAATGCTGAATGCTTTTTACGCTCTGGCGCTCTCTGCAGTCGCAGTCGCGGCCGTAGCCACAGTCGCTGTCGGGACTTCGTGTTGACTCGTGCGGCGAATGATTGAAACTGATGAAGAGAGGAGCTTCATGCGTGTTCTTGTGATCGGACTGCGCCACTGGATTCGCTCTCTTGCTCTGCTGCAGCAGCAGCTGGGGGCCACTGCACACCATAGCAAACATAACGGCATTTAGCTGCACTCGGTTGTTGTTGATGCGGCGACGTTAGTGATTGGTGCAAGTGTACGCGCTCCGAAGTATATAAAGCATATATAAACTAAGTGAGAACCGGTTTTGGCGCGGAGCGCTGCGATTGGCCGCAACGCCACGCTTTCAGCAGTCCCAGACAAACACATCTACGCACACAGCCACGCACACACACAGTCGCAGTCAGGTACCAGGCCTAGGCATACAAGGGAGCAGGTAATTTCTGCTCTTTTACTCCCTCTCTCGTTGGCAGCACAGAGCGCTCTCTCGCGCTCTCTGCCTGCGCGCAGCGCTAGTGCCGCTTATAAAAAGGCTGACAGCGCCGTCTTGTTTCAGTTCTTCTCTTTCGTTCATTGCAACAGCAACAGCAAAACAGATTGACGGCAAACACACATTCAGTTCGTTAAGTTTTGTGCGCAACGCGATGTTTATGTGAAGCCAGCGACTGAAGCAGTTGAGAATTTTTACTGTGACAATCAAAGATAACCAAGGGAATACAAAGTTAAAAAGAAAAACAGTTACAAAATGCATACCGTCGAGCATATGCTAGTGGAAAAGAACTACAGCAAGTGTCCTTTAAAGAAGCGTCCGGTCAACTATCAGTTCGAAGCCGAACCCGAGGACTTGTGCCTCAAAAAGAACAGCAGTGATGCCTGCTCGACAATAACAACAACAGTTGAGCATTCAGCGACAGCAGCCGCCTCCAGCTCAGAGGATGAGCTCATCAATGTGAGCGACTGTTGCGAGGATGAAGGCGTCGATGTAGATCATACAGACGATGAAGCCGAGCACATGGATGTGGAGCACGAGGATGATGACGATGTCGATTGTGTTAATGTCGAAAGTGATCCCAATCAGACACAGGCCGCGGCACTGGCCGCTGCAGCCGCTGTGGCAGCTGCCTCCGCGGCTGCCGTTGCCGCTTCCGTAGTGGTGCCCACACCCACCTATCCCAAGTATGGCCTACAGCCATGGAACTTTCATATGTCGTCATACACAGCCGAGTTTTATCGCACCATCAATCAGCCGCATCTATCGGCCGCGGCTGCTGCGGCGCCACTGCGCGCCGAGCTGCTCTCGCCCAGCTCACCCTCCGACTCATTGGGCTCACTGTCGCCACCGCCCCATTATCTGCATGGACGTGCCAGCTCCGTATCGCCGCCAATGCGTTCCGAGATGATCCACAGACCGCAGCTGGGCGTACGCCAGCATCAACCGTTCTTGCCCTATCCAACCTATCCTGCTGCCTACACTGCTCTCGGCTATCCGCATCATCAGCCGCTGCATCCGCAGCATCATGCGCCCATTTCGCCTGCCTACTCCGAGAGCTCCTACTACTCGATGCGCAGCCTGACGCCCGAGTCGAGTTGCTGTTCGGTGCCCGAGGATCTCTCCTTGAAGCACAAGCAGGCTGGGTCTGGCGTGCACAGTGATGTTGCCAGCAAACAGCTCAGCCACAACAGTTCCGCCTCCTCAGCTGCCACAGTGTCCTCCTCCTCCTCGGCTTCTTCGGCCGCCTCGGTCTCGTCGTCGCCCAGCAAAAAGGACAAATCGGCGCCGCCACGCTATCAGTGCCCCGACTGCCAGAAATCCTACTCCACATTCTCGGGCCTCACCAAGCATCAGCAATTCCACTGTCCAGCCGCCGAGGGCAATCAGGTGAAGAAGTCCTTCAGCTGCAAGGATTGCGACAAGACGTACGTCTCGTTGGGCGCCCTCAAGATGCACATACGAACGCATACGCTGCCCTGCAAGTGCAACATGTGTGGCAAGGCCTTCTCGCGGCCCTGGCTGCTGCAGGGTCACATTCGCACCCACACGGGCGAGAAGCCGTTCAGCTGCCAGCACTGCCATCGCGCCTTTGCGGATCGCTCCAATCTGCGCGCTCATCTGCAGACGCATTCGGACATCAAGAAATATTCGTGTGGCAATTGCTCGAAGACGTTTTCGCGAATGTCGCTGCTGACGAAGCACAACGAGGGCGGCTGTCCGGGCGGCAGTGGCTCCGGCACCGGTTCCAGCTCCGGCGCTGGCTCCAACTCTGAGCTATCCTACGGAGGCTACGCCGAGCCCTAGGCTCCACGCAGCATCGCATCACAACGTTGTACACAAGCCATGTTCCACCAAAAATTAGTTCCTAGCTCGAGAGTAAGCGCAACCCGGCAGCTCCAACAAGATATCCAAGACACACGCACAACCAGAAACACACACACGCACACCCAGTGAAACGTAAAAATTGTATTTTTATTTTATTTTATTTTTTATTTTCTAGTCAACATTTTCTTTACAAGAGAAAATTAAAAACAAAAAACGAAGAGAAAATATTTGTTAATTTCACGAATTTCATTTGACAATTTGCTTCGATGCCCCAGGTAACTTAAGTGTGTCTCAATCCTAAGCCGAACTATTGTAAAGTATTTGAAAATATCCTGTACATATATGTATTACGCCCCGGCGTCTAACTGTAAAGACTCTAAGAGCACTCGAAAAGAAACTGTAAACTATAATTATGTATACATATGACAAAGAATTCGCATATATTTGTATCTCCTCTATTATAGTATTTTTTAGCCTAGCTCTACATATAGCTCTATATATATACACCTATACATATATATATATTTTTGATAGAAATGACAAAACTTTTTGCATACATTGAAAATGTGCTAAACATACAAATTTTAGATTTACAAAAAAAAAAAAAAAAACAAAAAAACAAAAAAAAACTTGAAACATACAAATATTTTGATATGAAAATGTTTTATAATTTTAAGTAATTTATTACACGGTATACAAGAAACCGCAACAAATACAAAAACAATGAACAAAATGAAAAAAAAAAATACATTTATTTACATACAAAAGCAATTTATGAGCATTTTATTGATTTGATTTTGAATTGAAAGCAATTTCAATTGCAAAGCGCGGGAAAAACGAGTGAATAATGTTAAAAAAGGATTTCAGATATTTTATTAGAATTTTAATAATGTCCAGAAAGTACTAAAAAATGTTTTACATCTCCAAAAGAACTTTTAGCTTAGAGAAAATCAAAAATTTAGCTTGTAAGATATTTTCTATAATATTTGAGCTGTGTTTGCCCGAAAATGCTTATTAATAACTCATTTGGCATTCCAACTGGAATGCAACAAGCTTCCAATTGGCATTCGTTAAGTTCCCTCTTTGATTGTATTGGAAATTAAGTGTGTTATAGCTGGCTTCATGGACTGTTAAGCGCTTTACTACCTTAACTTTTTAGGTCATGCTCCTCTTTCGAAATGGGAATACATATGCATGTGTGTATAGCAAAGCGATCGGCCGATCGATCGATCCGCTCGCTCGCACCGAAGTCAATCAGCCAATCGCGACATTTTATTGCCAGAGAGCTCAAACATTAAAGTTTTTATATGCAACGCTTCTCATAAATTATATTTAAATTTCAGTGCACGTACTCAAGCGTACAATGTGAGTGTGACTGGTTGGTCCAGGGGGCGGTGAGCGGCTGGGGGGTAGCGTGTGTACAGCTATTCACAAAATGGCAGTCACTAAATCAAATCGAAACACACACGCATACACACATACACGGTTCAATAGATCCACTCAGCGATCATAGAGCTAGCTCCATCAACGTCTTATTAAACATAAACCTATTTTAATGAAAAAGATCAACACAAATACGCAGATATTTATTTATTTACCTCTTGCTTTGGGTTTGCTTCTCTTTTTTTTGTTAACCCCAGTCAAACGATCCACGTCGATCCCGATCTAGTGATGCGGAAAGAGAAATCAAATGGCGACGCTCCACGGGCTACAACTACCTTAAAAATTGGCAAGGAATACGTGCGATTCGGCTAGCAGTTGCTTTTGATGCGCTGCGAATAAATTTGCTATTGAAATGAGAGTTATCTTTGAAACATGGTCTTAGTATGAATCATACTGAAGCAAGCTATATAAATATATACATATATATAGTCTCCAATCGATCACTTATCATTTACTACATCAATCATTAATGTATCTAAATTTGTGAACACTTTCAAGATATTACTCAAAATTACAGAGCAATTTATATGTTTGATATGCGCAGCAATCTATAGGCACTGATAAGTGCCTTAAGATCTGTCCAAACTGTTATACCCCAAATATATGTGTAGGGTACAAAATATGGGTGCGTTCTCGACTGCTAAGCAAACTCATTATCGAGATCAATTGATCGCCCAGGCGTAGACCTGGCCACATGTGTGTGGATCTGCGCGCCTCCAAGTGTGCAGCTACCTTTGCCTAGCCCCGCCGAGCCCTGGACTGCCAAATGGTAAACAAACTGCCACGACTACGACAATTGTAGCCAAATTAGATCATCAGCAGCAACCAGACTGGATAGTCAAGTCGCGGAGTATACTCGAGGCTCACGTGTGCAACGATCCCAGCGCTGCGATCGTCGAGCCAACTCGACGTAAATATATGAAATTAATATGCACGCATTTCGTGGCTTGACTTCAATACACTACCAGCGAACCCTGCCCCTTCCGCTGCCTCTGCCCGTGTCCCCGCCCCAGCCCCAGCCTCACTGCTTCACTCCACTCACTCTCTCTGTTCATCTCGTAGGGCAGCGGGCGCGAGCGAGCGTATCGTATCGTGGCTGGATCGTGCTGCTTTCTTGCACAAACAATTTGCAAACGATTTCTAATAAGCGTCTTAAATTGTAACAAAATAGACGCGCATTTAGGGCCTTTGTGCCGCGGCTGGCGATAACAAAGCGAAAAGCGACGTCGAGAAAAAAGTTGTGAGTCGAAAAACATGGTCAACACAACGGCGGGTATCAAAAGGTGGCCAATTCCTGTGAACCTAAAAACTAGGTTTTACTTTTAGTTTTCTATTTTTTTGCTGTAGTTTTTCGGGGAATTTTATATGTGCCAAATTTCGCGCTTGATCGGCAAATTTTTAAATTTTTTTACGATTTGCCCATGGCTTTAATCCATGTTAAATTTTTGGTTACCTATGAAGATTGCCAATCCAATTTTGGCAGCGAATGCGGATTCCCGAAGTTGGCAGATGACTCGAAAAGTGGATCTTAATGAAGTTTTCATTCAGCTAACAAAATTTATTTTTGAGGATTTTATATGATGTATGTTTTTTTTTAGAAGCTAACAACTTTGAGCTGTCTAAACTGCTTTCCTCGATAACTTATTTCATAGCTGAAGATAGCCATTTATTATGTTTGGCTTGACATTTCATTGGGGATAGATTTACATCAAAGTAACGCTGGCAAATTTTTAAATTTTATTTTGTCCGTCAACCTTTTATGTTTTTTATGTATGGAAAAGTCTAAGTAAAGCTAGCTTAATTTTTAGCTGATTTTATTTAAATAATAAATATTTTGAATTGTGGGATTAGGCGAGGCTTGAGCTGATCTTAATAGACTGAGTTCTCCTGCTTCAGCTCTTCTCAAGCTGAGAAAATAATTCATATATAATTAATATTCAACTATAGAGTAATATTTTTAAAGCAAATGTAGATTAGTAGTTAATAACATAAACATTATTATAATTATTTTTTGTGTAATCATCATTATTAATTTAGATTAAAGTTCGCTCAAAAATCAAGGTATAATATTAATAATACTTTAATTAATTTTTTTAAACATATATATTTATTATTATTATATTTCTATATTTCATACCAATTGTATTTGTATTTATTATTATTTTTGATTCAACTTTGCTTGCATTATCTCATTTATTACTAAACACTTAAGCTTATCTCTGCAAGTTCTGCCAACTTGTTCTCGCGCATCTTTGGCAATTCTCATTAGCTGCATCGAACTGGCCGAGTTTTCAGCCATTGACTGCGCTGACTGAGGCAACCAAAGGGTGGGGGAAAACTGCAGCCGTTGAGCTTCAAATTCAGTTGGAAACTACGAAGCGATCGCGCAAAAAAGCACACTTCGTCGTGACAAACAAAATGCTCACGTTTATCGCAGACAAAAGATCTCAATTTTTACGCTAAATTTCATTCGGCTGTTGTTGTTGTTGTTTTCAGTTGAGGCAAGTTGCCTGCCTCGATGTGGCTCCCTCATTTGGGCTGGATCTGCTCTGGATCGAGTGTTTTTTTGTAGGCTTAAGGACCAGCAAGGGTTGGGGGCATGTGTTTGTGTATGGACAGCCTTTTGTTTGGAAAGTTTTTATTTTGGCTCGTTAAAAAATTTGAAATTCAAAAAAAAGTTTTGCGCCCCAACGAAATGACAAACTGCGCGCGAGCATTTAGCGAAAGGGGACAAGTGGGGCTACAGCTAGACAAAGGTAGGCGACAGCAGGGCGGCGGGGTTGAGGGGCTGAGGTAGGTGCTTCGATTGTTGTTGTTTATCTTTGCATATTCATAAAGCTCGATCTGTTTACCATTTTGCGTTGTCGTTGTGACTTTTTCTGCTTTATTATGGCCGAAAATTGACGTCGTCGTCGTCAGGTTTATCAGGCAGAGTGGGGTGCCCAGAGCTGGAGTTGAAGTCGCAGTCGAAGTTGGAGCTGGAGTTGGAGTTCGAGCTGAAATTGAGCCAGCTGCAATTGCAAAACATCAGGAAAGTGATATTCGTTTATTGTATTGCAATATATTTTGAAATTGCAAATTTATATATATATATATATATATATATACATATATATACATATATATATATATAAAGGCAGCAATCCTTAGACAAAGAGTCAACTGGCGAGGTTATTTGTTAGTTTCATTGATTTGTAGCTGAGCTCGTTTTAGCAGCAATTGCTCTTTCATTTATGACTTCGTTCTACTGAAATTCTTTGCATTTTTATCAACTGTTCGCAACAGTTAGCTGTTAGCTTGGCTAAATCTAAATCTAACATTTGCCAAATTCGAACCCTGGGCCAAGTGCATTTCACACAAAACGTGCAAATAATAACACCATCTCCATCTATGCCTAATGATCTACGCCATGATGATGTTGCCACACACACACACACACTCGCACACTCGCACACTTCGCTGCGGCCACTTGGAAGACAATAAAACGCGTTAACTGCTGTTTGCCTGCACAATTGTTGGCTGGGAGCCAAGTTTTGTTTGTTTGGCTGTCTGCTGGGTCCGCCTGCTCGCCTCGTTGCCCGCTCCCTTTGCTCAGCCAATGCCAATATTGCACGCTACGCAGCCACAGCGGCTAACTAATTGGCGAAACAGCAGCAGCAGCGGCAGCAACAACAACAAC